TATAGAGATAGATAATTGTGTCAAGCGAACAGTAAGCACAGTAAGTAAAGTGTGTGAATCGCTGTGAATTATAGCGTGTATTCATAAAAGTAGTTAAAGTGACTGTGGAAATTCTGTGTATTACAAAACTGTATCGAGAAAGAATAAACTAGTTTTATTTAAGAAAGGACTTGTATCGCTGAAGTTCCTCGGAAAGAATTTATACCGGAAATTAACAAACGAACAGAGACGTAACAATATAATTAAAAATGATTTATTTTCTAATGTAGCTAAAAATCAATGTCTCTGTTCCCCACTAGAGTTGTGTAACTGTATTTAGAAGCTCTGGACTTAATATGTAATGAAACTTGTTTATATTTCAGGACACGACACTTACATTGTCAAAACCTCACTGAAAATATTTTTCAACGTCATCCACAAAAAACTACAAACATATCATCATATTTTGCTATAATTTTTTGTATCGTCATTTCAGAACAAAATAAAATATTTTAAACTTTTCCCGCTGGCGAATACAAAACAAACCTATTTCAAAGCAAAATGGATTTAGATACGATAACAAAGATACCGAAAAGCAACAGGTTTTTGTTGTTTTTACATTGAAACTTATAATAATAATAATAATAATAATAATAATAATAAATAAAACATCAGTACGGTTTAAACGTCGAAAGCTGGCGAAGCATTAGAAACCAAAAGGCCTAAAATTTGTGATTAAATTCACATTATGTGCATTTTTATTTTTACAAATCTATAGTGATTTTGAATCTGGAATGGTTTGTGTATTTGTTTGTTGTTAAGCACAAAACTACAAAAAGGCAATTTTCTGTGCTCTGCTCGTGACAAATATCAAAACCGATTTTCAGCGGCATAAGCCTACAGACTTTCCGCTGAGCCACCTACAATAGACAAATTAAGAAGCATGTGGAAAAATAACATCTATAATTAATGTAATTTTTATCACGAATCTTAGGCCTATTAATTAAAAACGGAATATGTTAATTATTGACTGTAGCAAAAACAAATGACACAGAACAAAAAAAAAGAGAGGTCAAACCTACGTCCTTTTTAAAGATAAATTCATAAATTATTTATAAATATATAAATTCATATATTTGAATAAAATAAAGCATACTTGAAAAATAATTAAAGTTAGTGAATTCTAACTCAAATATCCAAATTTTTTGTCGATAGCTACAGATTTACCTAAAACTCTCCGTTACTTAAGTTGCGAACATTTATTATTATTGTCTTTGTTTCTCAATAAACCTTTTTAAGTATTTTAAAATACAAACCTTACTTACCTATAGCATGCCCTAAGTTAATATACCCCTGGTGGTATAAAAAAAATGCCCAGAAGGTGGCAACCAAATAGAATCCTGTGTCCCTACAAACTAGGTCTTCTCATGATGGTGATCCTGACTCAACATATTGATCCCGCTACTACAGTTGTTACGAAGATACCGGCCCCTTAAAAGTAAGATATTTCAACACTCTGCTTTAGGCTTAATGCCTACAACTTTAAAAGTTATAAGATCATCCTTGGGATGTTTTATGACATGCGTTTCTTTTACAATAGATTGGACCATCCTTCATGCATACAAAATATTACCAATATATAAAATAAAATCTAAGATGAATCCAAAAGTTAATCTATTAATATTATAAGAAGTTAAGTAAGATACACTTTTTTTTTTTTGCAAGTAATTAATTTTTACTATGGTTGTCTTGGAAAGTAGATGTTGATAAACTAAAACATTAACAAGGGAATTTACATTAAATGTAACGGTGTTCTTTTGTGGCCTTTTAAAGTCTAAGTTCACATGACTCACTTATTTTTAATGTTCTTGAAGTTGAAGCCAGGAAAAAGTTTCGGAGGGTGTGAAGGCTGCTGTCTTTGAAATCCGAGAAAATGTTTAATTAAAGAAAGATAACAAAGACAGAAAAAAAATATTATCTGAAATTTAGGGGTGGGGGTGGGGACTACCAAACACAGGAATGTCAGCACGTAGTTCCTATAGAGCTCTCATAAACACTGGAGTGCCTATTATCATTGATTACCACAGATGGCGCGTGTGTAAATGAGGCCGCCATCTTATCAGAAGATGCTTATCCACCCGAAATTAGTGTAAACAGATAGTTGTCACATTGTAAGTATATGATTTAAGTAAGACTTATGATGAACAATTTGTGTTTGGGTGCTAAAAAATATGTAGAAACATCCAGGGTCCACAGTGAAATGTTATTTTGACAATTAAACGAAATCAAACATGTTTCAAAGCTGTCATTTGTATTAATGATGCTTAAATGTGTTCATTTGTTGTTGTTGTTGTTTGTTTTTTGGGGGTATGTTAGAGTGATGATATTTGACTGTACAATGATTTCTATTAATTTTCTTTCTTACGTTGAATCGTTTTAATCTTGAAAAAGCTTCATGGATTACATGCCTTTCAGAACAGTTGAAAGTTAACATCTAAAGTACAATTTTAAAACATAAATTGACTTATCATATACTGAGTATTATAATAATTGGGGATGTTATAGGACAATTTTTGTCGTGATTTTACTGAAAACATCAAACTTTAGATGCCAGAAGTATATTTCTACAAAATTAAACAAGAACTAAGTTTGTGCAGAAACAGTAAAACTATTGTTACGACAGCGGAACTCACGTGACGCTAGCAACACGTCATGATATTCTCG